TCCGCTTGCTCCTCGCAAGGTGGACGGGGCCATCGCCGCCTGCTCGGAGATGCACGACATGAAGGAAGCCATCTACGAGTACAAGAAGAAGCTGGAAGGGATCGGGGAGGACTATCAGATCCAGGTACGCTCAGGAGAGGATCGCTCGGATGCAGACGGACCACGCGGGGTCGTTTATCGAGCTGTTTCTGCGCGGGGACGAGAAGAATGTAAATTCTGGAAATCCGAAGCTTCCTGTGAGCTGGAAATTTCCCAGAGAGGTGAAACATGGAAGGTTGTGGAGCTTCTCTTATTTATTTCCCACCCCCCCCTGCCCCGAATTGTTTAAGAGCCATAAAATGGAGCAGGCTGGGATTTGGGGGGAAAGCTGGCCGGTTTGGGCTTCGCCGCTGTTTCTGCTAGATGACCTCGAGGGCAAATAATATCCTCTGCCCTGGTTTCGTCAGCTCTAAAACTGGAAAATCCATACCAGCCTGGCTGGTAAAAGTCCTCGGGAGCTGGGAGGGATCATTGCTTTTATGTTTTCCTGCACGTGTAGTCACTCAAGGTCAAGCTTTCCTATCTGTAAATTATTTTTTTTTTTTTTCTTCTCCTTTGCTTTTGAAAGCCATCGGGGTGGTTTTCCATGCTGGAAAGCTGTGGTCTCCCCTCTGACCGGGGAGGGGGTCGGCTCACCAGGGGATGGATGGATGGATGGATGGATGGATGGATGGATGGGAGAGAATGCTGGGATGGAAAAGCTGCCCCGATCCCAGCCTTTTTGGAGATTTCTTTTCCCATGCTGAACGCGGAGTGGAAGCGCCGGGGCCGGTTTCAAAGGGCAATCTAAAAAACAGGCGCCGTGCGGCCAAAGCAAATAGGCTGGAGCAGAAAAGCCCCGTGCAAATGATGAAGTGGGGGGGAAAGAAAACATTTGCTGGCGTTTTTTTTTGGCGTTTAGTGGCAAAGCCTAAATTTTACCCCCTTTTTGGGGTGGATTTGGGTGTGTTTGGTGCTGCTCGTGTGATGGCAGATATTCTCTCGTGTAGCAGGGAGAGCTTCGGCGTGGGGCAGGGGATTTTCCCGCTGCCTCGAAGC